ATCCAGGAAGAAATTGACAACACACCAAGACAGGACTTCAGACTAATCATAGGTGCCTGGAATGCTACAATAGGCAGCAAAAACGAGTAAAAAAGAGTAGGCAGATTTGGACTAGGCATAAGAAATGAAGCAGGAGAGTAGCTGATAGAATTTTGTGAGGCCAACAATCGATTCATTGAAAATACTTACTTCATACAAACAGAAAGGAGACTATACATATGGACATCACTAGATGGTCAATACAAAAATCAGACAGGTGATATAATTGGAAGCAGAAGACGGAGAAGATATATTCTGGAAGCCCAAACTAGACCAGGTGCAGACCTTGCAGGGTGAGCAGACATCCTCCTTTTCCTACATTTCAGCCTTCTGTCCAGGAGGAATTCCAAAATGTCCTCCATTTTGACCATTACTAAGAAGCATGAATGTATATTTATATGAGTGGTTTTAGCTTTTATTTTGTCATGCCTGGCATTTTTCCTGAATGTCTTACATGTTGTGGTGCCCTGTCCTCCTTTGCAGTTATGACATCTGGTCACCATAGGACTGTAGTAAAATCATTAACTACATATATATATATATATATACACATATACATATGTAGTTAATGATTCTACTACAGTCCTATGGTGACCAGATGTCATAACAGCAAAGGAGGACAGGGCACCACAACATGTAGAGTAAAGTTGAAGAAGAAAGCAAAAACAATCATCATACCAAAATATGATCCAAACAATATATGAACAGAATTTAGAGGCAATGTAGGAAACAAATTTGTGCTATTAAGCATAACCGACCAGGGACCAGAAGAACTATGGTCAGAAGCCAGGGACATAATCAAAGAAGAATGCAAAAAGACACTTTCAGTGACCAAAAAGAAAGAGAAGACAAAATGAATAACAGAGGAAATGCTTCAAGCAATAAAAGAAAGAAGAGAAGCAAAACAAACGTAAGTTTGGAACAAAATCAGAACCATGAATGCAACTGTTCAATGACTAGTGCACCAGAATAAAGAGGACTATTATAAAAATCAATGCAGAGAAATAGAAGACATTAACAAAAAAGGAAGAATGAGAGATATTTTCCTGTCCAGGAAAACAGCCAAATGCTGATAACCACAGTTTAAACAATAAACAAAGAAACTGCTCACGGAACTTGTGAAGTTTAAAGCAAGGCAAAGTCCCATACTAAGAGTCCATAATAACAAGCCAAGAAGTCAAACCGAGAGCATAGTCAAGCAGTCCAAGGTCAAGAGTTCCAGAGAGGCAAGATGATTAGGCAGTCCAAGAGTCAAAGGTCTGAGCCGAGAAGATAAAGGAAGACCTGGAACAAGCATTCTTTCACCAGCAAAATCAGATAGTCTCTGACAACCAGTCTGGCATCCTTGCCATGTTTATATAATCAGCCCTCATTAGCTCAGCTGTTTTGAGGTTAGCTGACGTTTCTCATAAAATCTCCTCGAGCATTGGAGGCATGCCCTTTCAGCTCTTCTCTGGTTGAAGGTAGGTATGTC